GAGGTAGACAAGCACAGACTCTAATTAAAGAACATCCAGGACCACAGCACTTAGTAGTTACATCAGCTAAATCTTCTTTTAAGTTGTAATCTGAGTTAAGTTAGCTCATAAGTCAGTCGTACACCTGTCATGGTAATAGGGAGGAGTTGCAGCTGGAGTAAGTGCCATGCTGTGGGTAGATCACACAGGCTGAATTTTACTTTGAATAGTAATGATGACTAGATGAAATCCACTCTATTAAATAATGAACAACTGCTTATGATACATGAGCGATACAATGTGGAGCTGTATTGCTATTTGAACCTCTTGAGTAGCAAATCCTTCCCTGGAAGGTGTGCCTGTTCTCTTAGTGACTACCGCAGAAGCACTTTTGACTAAGAAGTTGTGTGTGGAATATTGGACCCCCTTGATCCTGCTTGGTTAGAGCTGTTTCCCAAAGGACAGCACTGAATTGTGGATTTCAAAAGGCTCTACTACTTTTCAAAATGGTGTCCTCAAACATTTTCAGTGAGAATATACAAAGCATCTTGATTTTCAAAATGCTTTCTGAAGAAGGGTGAAGATAATGCTGAATGGTATGGTCATATAGTTGTCAACACTTCTAAATTTTAACTACAGTTTACTGTATTTAAATACCTTTGAGTTTGCCACTGATGGATTTAATGGGTAGAATAAAATTGAGTTGACCAAGTAATATGAAAGTACTGAGCACAGCTGACAACAAAGGACTAGCTGGAAGACATAATCAACTGAAGTTACTATATATACAGTCTGGAATTGGAGGGAGGGTTGAAAATTGGTACTTGCATTTCTGAGGTTGTTTTGTCAGAATGTAGACTATGAGAGGAGATGAGAAGCTATAGGTTAATACAGAATTTTCTTGGTGACATGGATAAGTAGTAAAATGTGGCCAATTCTTGCTGGTCTAAACCTGAAGGTGTAGCAATTTGTGAGTAAGGAGTCCAGTGTAGTTTAACTAATAAGTCTGGTGATCCTTAGCTGCAGTTGCCACAAATCCCGTGCTGTAAAAGGCTTACTTGGTTGTGGGCTTGGTTTTTTGGGGTGTTTTGGGTTTTTTTGGGTGGTTAGCCTATGTGTGAATCGTGCTGACAAGCTGGTTTTTTTATTGCATAACTTGTTAATGGCTCCTATTGTCGCTTCTGAAGTGTAGCTTTACATAGCCAGACCAAAGGTTTTATGGGACTATGTATTAGGTGGGTAAGTATTTCAGTTAGGATAATCATACCTTTGTACTGAACTGTCATCAACAGTGTGACCACTGTGCTGGAACAGTTCAAGATCATACTAGCATGACTGAACTTTCTGTCTCTTGTGTGAATTGCCTTCATTGAGTCAGTCTTGTTAGTACTGTAGCTATCAGGTGATCTCTAGAGTTTTTAAATTCTTCAGTGTAGGGCAGCAGATCATCACTTCTATGGCTAGGTGCATGAAGGGGTAGAATACAGGAGTGGAAGGTCTGCTAGTGAGAATGGACAAAAGATAATCCTGAAGAACCCATTGTTGGCGCATTGTCATTTTTGTTTGGCCTTTGTGTCTACTTCTGGATTTTGGCATCTGTTATGTTGTGATAACGTGGCTGAGATAAAACATATATCAGCAGTGTCAGATGAATAATATTTTGCCTGAACCCTGTTTTTGACAGCATCAGATGTATCACAGAAGGCTGCAGCGATTCCAGAGATGCAAAGTGCGTTTTGAAATATGTTATGATCATCACTGAGGTCTTCTCTCACTGTTTTTGTAACCAATGTAGACTAATACAAATAGTCTTTGTAGATGAGAGAGAGACCTAGCAAAAAAAAAAAAAAAAAAAAAAGTTCTAGGAGACAATATCTCTAACATAGGTCTACACCTAGCTTATGTGGCACTTCTGATATGCAAGACATTATGGTTGCCTGGATTGAGGCCAGAAAAATAGCACAGGGAAGCTGCTAGCTCTTTGGAGGCTGCATATCTGGCTTCAGAATTCCAGGTGGTCCTGAGAAGGCATTTGGCTTATGCCTTAGTTTACTTTGAAGTGTCCTGATGCATATTTGAGGAGCTTCACTCTCTCAGAACAGCTTTAGGCTGCTTAAATTCACAAAATCAATTAATTTATACAGCTTATTTTGCCTAGTATCAAACGGAGAAAAACTGTAGAATTGGGCTACATATTGTAGCATGCACATGGCTTTTTACAATTGGGAGAAAGACTGGAAAACTTTCAAATGGGGGTCTTGTTTCTATCACTTTCACAGAAAATTTGTTACTACTTTTTCTTTCCAAAGAACAACTTGGTGAAGTCTTTTTTAATGGAACTTTGCATAAAGGTGGTTTTGCAGTACTTACATATTTTAAAAATACGTATTTTTGGCTTTTTTTTAAAGTTCTTATAAAAGTAAAAAGAAGTTGTGTAATGCTCTTAAGAGAGCTTTGTAAAGCATTTGAAAGCTTTATATAATATGAATATTAACTGAGCACAGAGAGGGAGTCATCTTAAGGTCATGAAATAAACCAGGAGCAGAATCTGCATCTCTTGGTTTTGTTTTTGTCTTTGGTTCTGATATTTATATTTAGTGTTGTATTCTCAATTGTAACTAACTCACAGAATTGTATAATCTATCTATATTCTTCTAACAAGCTATTAATTCAGTTATTTCAATAAGGACTATTTATGAGTTGGCTGATCATTTTAGATGCACAACTTTGAGAAGCAGAGGTTTTCTGCCTGCTTAGCGTACATGCTTTGTAGCACTTCCCTGGTATATTAGCTTGTTTTTCTGGCTTTTAAAAAATGCTATGTTTTTTAATTAACTAGTATTTTAAGAATAAACACATCTGAAAATTATTCTTGCTGCTACACTTTAGCTTTGTATTAATAATTTAGTGATTTTTTTCCATACTAAGTAAAAGATAAGAACATGGTTTTATAAGAGGGTAGATATAATTTGTATAAAATCTTTTTAGAAAATTAAGATGTGTCTTTTTAGTATGGTTAATGCAAAGAAATTAAGAACAAAACTCATCTTTGGAAGTCATTGGCTTCCTTTCCAAGTTAAATTAGATATACATTGCATAGGCACTAGGAATTTTTGGCACTTAATTTCCATTATTATGTCCTTTGAACGGTGCTCAGAATATTCTCTTTTTTTCTGCAGTTCAAGTGTAATCATTACAGATAGTGGGTGTTTTTTTTTTTTTAATGAGTTTTGTTTCCTTGAGGAGTTAAATTTTACCCAGTCAAATAAGGAAAACTTTATTATTCTTTTCACCCTACTCAGGGTTCAGGTTTTCTTCCGTTTAAGCCTAAGATTTCACAGTATTGCCTTACTGCCAGCATTCATTTCAGATACTCATTAAAACAGAGTATTTCACCCAATAATAGTGCTAATCCCACGCAGGATATTCTATATCTATATACCTTGTTCTAAACATTTAAATGTTTATTTTGAGATCTTGGGTGGTTGAACTCCAGAGGTCTTGGGTGGTTGAAAGTGTGGATGTGTAAGTTTTACATACAAGTCAGTATGTATTGTATTACATAGAGTATTGTTTTTGCATTCATACTGACTAAAGAACTCTGGGGGTGACTGACAGGGACCCGAGGGCCTGGGTGGTGATCTCCTTGATCCCACCAGTAAGGGGAAAGGGTGTGAGGGGGAGGGCACTGGCAATGCACATCAGCAGTTGGTTGTGGAGCTTGTGTTGGCAACAGGGTTTTGGGTTCTGCAACCATGGGATGCTGTTCTCAGGGTCTGCCTGGGAGAGATGGGATCCACCTCACTAGGGCATCTTTGCCAGCAGGATGGCTGACCTTGTAAGGAGGACTTTGAACTAGGAATGATGGGGGAGGGAGAGACTAGCCAGCAGCCCTATGAGGGGGAGTGACTCACAGGGTGGACGAGCAAAGGGTCTGTGGTGATGTGACAGAAAGGGATCACAAAATTGGCAAAACGGGGCTTAGGCAGGGTCACCTCTAGCATTTGCATATGAGCAAGGAAGTGCCTACAAAGCACCATTATGGAGAAAACCCTAAAAGCCTTTCTGGGAAATAGGCATGCCAGGGCACCTCTCTTAAGTGCATGTACAATAATGCATGTGGCATGGGGACTAAACGTGATGAGTTGGAGATCTGTGTGCATTTGCAGGGCTGT